ACACACACACACACACACACACACACACACACACACACACACACAGTTAATTCATCACCTCCACTATGATGGGCTCTCCAGATCTAATCCAATAGAGTATATAAAAGCAATAGAAATTTTTTAACATTCTACTTGACTGCAAGTAAGTTGTCTATCAATATCAAAAGCTCTGGTATGAAGACCTACAGCTGGAAACTAAGGTAGAGGGGGTTAATGTTTTGCCTGGTCCAATATATAAATTATATTTCAACTCATAAGTTATTGAAAATAAATTCCCAGGAAGAAACTCTACCAAACATTTGATACTTTCTTCACAAATAGAACATATCAGTTTAAATAAGTAGGCAAGTAGACTGATGAAACCTATGTGGCAATTTTATTTTAGCACCTGGGAATTCTAGTGTCATGGATCAACAGGTAAGAAACTGTATGCAGAAAATGACCTGCTGCTTAACTCACCCTGAACATCTCGGAGCACACAAACACCACTGATTTTCTTTCTTCTTTTTTTTTTTTTTTTGGTTTTTTGAGACAGGGTTGGCTGTCTTGGAACTCACTCTGTAGACCAGAGTCTCTTGAACTCACAGAAATCCGCCTGCCTCTGCCTGTTGTTGAGTGCTGGGATTAAAGGTGTGTGCCACCACTGCCTGGCTTACCTTTTAGCACAGTCTAAGTGACCTAGTTTAAATAATTATAATGTGGGAAAAGAAATCACTAGCGCTATTCTGTAAGTGTGCCAAAAGTGAAAACCTCACTTTCGGTGGCACATTGCTAGATCTATTAACAATCCATGGAGGTGCCAGTCTATCCAAGTCACCAGTTCTCAACCTGTGGGTCGCAACCCCTTTGGGGTTGAACATATCAGATATTTACATTATGATTCCTACCAGCAGCAAAACTACAGTTATGAAGTAGCAACGAAATAATTTTAGGGTTGGGGGTCATCACAACATAAGGAGCTGTATTAAAGGGTCACAATATTGGGAAGGTTGAGAAGCACTGATCTAAGTAAACCCAAGAATCATGAACAATCATCACCACACATGGCAAGATACAAAGACTATTCTTGACATGAATAACATTAATTAAAGCTTTTTATTGTGAACCCCTGACTAAAGAGGCAGTCCAAAAAGACAACCTTTTTTCCACTTTTCTCTTTCCCAATGTCAAGCAAGGCAATACCCACTCCCCCACTTGCCCTAAATTATGTATCAAATAAAGGGAGGCGGACATTTTTAAAGCATAGTGATGACAATAGACTTATAATACCTGTAGCATTCTTAAAATTATTTTTAAAACAATAAAACGCTTTCAGTTTTTAACTAACTGTTCTTCAGTTGACTTTAGACTTCTGTTGTTTTAGACTACCTCCAATAGTATATTTCATATCACTTTACCCCTATGTTATTTCAATTTCCACTACTAAACCACTCCCTAAGAGGAAAGGCCATTTTAAACATCCTTAGAGAAGGAGCAGCCTCAGAATAACTAGAAAAGGTAAAACTAAAATAGTTTCTTTTTTTTTTTTTTTAAAGAATTATTTATTTATTATGTATACAGTGTTCTGCCTACATGAATGCTTGCAGGCCAGAAGAGGGCACCAGATCTCATTACGGATGGTTGTGAACCACCATGTGGTTGCTAGGAATTGAACTCAGGACCTCTGGAAGAACAGCCAGTGCTCTTAACTGCTGAGCCATCTCTCCAGCCCCGTAAAATAATTTCTTAAAAGGGAGTTGGTTAAGAAATAGAGGTTGGGAGAAAGGGTTGTTCAATACTGTCAAAGTGCAAGTTACTTATGCCTAGACCATCCCAAGAGTTATATGTGGTACTTGGAATGAAGACCCAAACCCTCAACTTGATGTGCCAGATCCTTCTTGGTCTTTGGAAAGTCACTCTTTCTACCCATCACACACCTTCTCCAGAGTCCTTCCCACCCTGCATTCCATCCATAATGCTCTTCCTCCAGTTTCTGAATCCACCGCCATTTTTCCTGCCCAGGAACTCTTTTGTGCTCTTTCCTCTACTTAGAATTATCTTTCTCTCCTCTTACGTCACAGCTCAGTTCAGACATCACTTGTTCAGGGAGAGTCTGGTTTGTGGATATATAACCCATGCAGCTGAACAGAGCCAGCACTCGGGAAGGACCTACTTAAGTGTTCTGCTGTCCTAGTCCTGGAGTCTTTAGTCTGTGAGCAAGAACCTCAAATTTTCATTTTGCACTGTACCCTACAAATGTTAAAGATGAACTTATCCCCAGGAAGTCTTTATTGATCTCCCTAAATTGCTCAAATGCTCCCTTACACAGACACCCTTTACACCACTTATCACAGTTGATATTTTTACAATCTGAGTTTTTAGTTATATCTCCAAGCAGAAAATAAACTGTGAATCTAGGATTGAGGCCATCCTTAGACCCTAGCATAGGAAATGCTGGCT